ATCGAACGCTTCCCACCCACCGCGAGATGTGGTGAGATCAGCGTGCTCTCTCAAACGACGTGCTCTCTCGCGTATTTTGTCTTCTTTGATCGCCCTGTCTCGCCATCGTACCACATCCGACCTTTTGAAGGTTAAGGCCTTAATTTCAGCGTTCCCAAAGATTTCTCTTGCTTTCCTTCTCCACTTTCAGGTCGCTCCGCAGCTAAGCTATCACTACGAAGCGCTCTTAGCACCAGTTTAATTCCGGAGTTTGCCTTTAACTTCAGGTGCCTCCTTAATAGGTGAGCTCAAAATGAAGTGATATCGTCAGCAAACATCTCACAACTTAATCCGTGACTCTCAATCGAAAAGGGAATACATCTTACGTTTTACTCCATGACTCTCAACTGAAGAGGGAATTAATATGAACAAACGAATGTAAATAAAAGTAATATAAATAATATAATAAATATTGAGGGCGGAAGTGGTGTGTACAAGTGGCACGCTCACCAATAAATATTGAGCAGTAAAGGGAACAATACTACTCCTTGAGGCTCTCCACTGGGGGAGAACCTGATAGATGAGGAAGAGCTGTTCTACCCTTACTTGAAATGAGCGCTCGTTCAAAAAAGCCTTAAATCAACGTACGATCGTGGGGTGTACCCCAACTTGCTCCAACTTTCCTAACAGTTTGGCATGGCACACTTTGTCAAGAACAATTTGAGAAATCAAAATAAATGACGTCCACACATGACTTTTAATCCTTCGCAGCTAACCCAACAGCAAAGGGTTTGGAGCATTCGCGAGTCTGTAGAGCAAACTTTTCTGGAACCGTTGAGACAATAATGCAAAACTTGGTTTTTATTGAGATGATCAATAATAGCATCCTTAATTGTTTTTTTACACACTGCGTACCGTGTGCATCATATTGTGATGCACGCATATCTTGTCCGCATGATGATGCATCAGGTTCGAATTCAAATTTCTACTTTCTTCATGAAGCAAACTGATCAAAAACTGTGGTCATATGTTTTCGAATATGCTCAATAACATATCTGCCTGGGACTTCACCAGCTGAGAAAATATGACGTGATCAGACACCATCTTTCGTCCAACAAATCTCGCCTTAACAACAACTTTTACTAGAATATTCTCCTGTACTCTTCTTTTAACAAATTGATAACAATCATAGAAACTGTACTAAAGATTTCAGGCATGCATTGGGATAGAATTGACTCGTAAACTTCCTCGATGAAATTGATACAATTCTAATAATCACACTACTAGAGCCCGTGAAGTTCCTGTGATGAAATTTGCAACTCGTAAAAACGATAATTAGGCGCTCATACTGAAATTCACGTTAACTGCTTCTGATGGAACTGAAAACTCGTACACTTCTTCGATGAAAGTGACAAGCGATTATACTAAACATCCCCTAAAGTCTGAGTGAAATGGATACGTAATGTTTTCTAAAAAAATGATAACTAGCCGCGTATACTGAAATTCCAGTGCATTTTGTGGTTAAATTGAACCGCGTAGACTTCTCTCAGGAAGGGGCAATAAACGAGAAATATCAGCCGAGAACATCCCGCTTACATTCTTTGCGATGGGTTCGTGGCAACCTAGGCGATTATTCTAAAGTGCCCGACACTCTGTGATACAGTTGATAACAATCTAGGCAGTAATATTTACTTCAATCGAACAGGTTTACTGTACCTTGCAAGACTCTTGATCGGGCATAAGGCGCAGCGTGCTCTTTCGACATTTAGTATTTCACACATCGACTTCGATGTTTTCGCTTAGGTCAAGTGGCTGTGCGCAGTTGATGTTTCAGCGTTGTATGTATGGATATCTGTCCGTTCAATATCGCATCCCTGATAGAGATCTTTTCATCACCAGGGAATAAATATACCACGAGTTGACGACAGCTGTTGGGTGATCAAATAAGAGAACAACCGCAAATACCCTACTTGTTCTTCTGATACAAGGGTCATCCGTGGAAGAGTACAGCGCTGTTGATAGATCAACAAAACTCCTTGATTTATTGTATATCAATGGCTTATTTGCATTATTTACAGCGCCCTTCAAATACGATGAGATGTAGAGCATCTGTATGTTGAGCTGAGCTGTAGAAACGTACGCACGTATGATCATCACGTAGAGCTCATGATGGTCTTTCCACTTTAGCACAGTCACTCCATATTCGTCTTGCCTGACAATTAGCTCTCCTTCTTTCAACTTCTTTGTTTTCTCTTCAACAGGAACGTCAATTCTGTTCTTTCATGAAGTACCGAGGTAGTATACGTCGTGCTCCAACAACTTGTGAGCGAGAGGAATCGATGAGCAGAAATTATCAGCTGTCTAAATCCTTTCACAATGGAGATACGGTTTCCTCATCTGCATCTCTACTTGCTCTGCGGACTCGGAGGACAAGTTCGGTTTGGTAGTTTCCTGCACAAACCATGAATCGGCAAGAATATCCGCCACCGCAAAAGAGCTTGCTTAATACCATATCTGTATCTTTTCGCTTCAACATGCTGCCTGAACATTGCTTTGCCGCGAAAAGGAACCATGGTTTCGTAAATGCAGATATCGTTGTCAGGTTTGTAAACATCCTCAAGCGCTTTGTTCATCAAATCAGTGACTGACTGCGCCATGTAAACACGGTTACTCTTGTCCAAAGTTTCGTTGTTAGCGAAATGAAGAGATTTAAATCGATTACTTGCCTCACCTCAGATGCGCTGTATATACAGAACTTTTGTAGACCAGTATTCTTTGAGATCTGACCTCTTCTCGATGCTCATATTAAAAAAATGGCTAAAACCTTATAGAATTCCTGTTCCCCAAGCAAAGACCAATTGTACTTGGCGATCCGATGCGACGATTCGAGCTACTTCCACAGCACAAGTTCACCTATTCGGCGTTGTCATGAAAAACTTGTAAAAGCTCATTGCATTGCTGAATGAATTGATGTCGTCAGTATGAATTCCATTATTCCTCGGTAAAGAGCAGTACGTTTGGTTGAACAATAGTCGAAGACCAACCGGTGTCCGATTCCTCTTCACAATCTTCGTCACCACTTGATTCAACGGCGTCAACAAGCAAACCATCATGAGCTCCTGAAACATAATCATTTTCTGTTTCTCCACCATTTTCAATAAGCAATTGTACGAAGGAGCTCTCCAAAACTTCCATTTGTAATACTACTAGAATCGAAACCGAAACTCGACTGGATTCAACGTAGCCTTACGGCAAATGAGATAAATGGATCACAAAAGACAGCGTGTGGAAGCGACTGGACCATTGGTCTGAAACCCATTGACACCAAAACAATCTATACAATAACAATCCGTACAAACCAAAAACTTTTTGGTTTGTACGGATTGTTATTGTATAGATTGTATCACTCAACAGCAAGAAGTGTAGGCCGATGTCATAGTTTGCGAATCGAGCGATTCGCTAGCGAATCGCTGGATCCGAGCGTTGCGCCAGCGAATCGAACGTTGCACCAGCGAATCGAACTTTGCACCAGCGAGTCGAACGATGTACCAGCGAGTCGAACTATGTACCAGCGACTCAATAGTGGCGGGACCCAACGTTCAAAGGAAGCCCGCCACTTTCAAACAGTGTCCACTGTCAAGTCCCGCCACTTTCAAAAAGGGTCCACTGTCACGTGACACTGTTTGAAAGTGGCGGGCTTCCTTTGAACGTTGGGTCCCGCCACTATTGAGTCGCTGGTACATAGTTCGACTCGCTGGTACAAGTTCGATTCGCTGGTGCAACGTTTGATTCGCTGGCGCAACGCTCGAATCGCATACAATGACGTCGGCCTACGAGATGATTGGTTATACGAAAATCAAACAGTTGTCAAGAAGATGGCCTGGGCAACAGAACGTTATTTTATTTAGATTACGAAGTACGAGGCAGATATGTTGTCCTCCATGTGCGAAAACATAACATAGTAGTAGATTTTGACTCCAATGAGAGGAAAATTCAGATTGTTGAGAAAAAAGACTGTTCCCTGGACAAGTGTTCCCGAAAAAAAATCGTTTGGCCGTGCGCGCGGGAAAACGGCAGAGAGCGTCGGTATGCTTCGTGTTAAATAAGCGGCGAAAACAGATGTTATACTTATTGGGTCTATAATTCTCCAGGCTGCTAAAGGGAGCTTTCTTATCGGGCGACACATTGAAAAAAATCGTGTGACAGCGTTCGGTTTCTTGAAATAAAGACAAAACGATAGAATAGAACGCAGTAGAAGTGTGGAATGTTAGTGGAGCGTAATTAGAAAGGTCAAAAGAGTTCCTAGTGACGACTCCGTGAACCAAGTGGAAGCGTTCCCGCCGCCAGCATTTGTGACAGATGTCCGGCGGGAATTTGAACGCGTAGCAGCCTTCCGGTTTTTCGAATTGTTACCAGAACAAATGCAATTTTTTCATTCTTCATCATGAACGATGGGTCTCAAGCCATTGATTTGTGGGAAGATATAACCACAGTTCTCCGCGGAGGACTACTTTAGATCTCGTAGTGTGCGGCCCCTGGGCTTGGGGCCCTTCATTCTCACTCTAGTCCGACCTGTGGATTCAAGGTGGTAAGAAAATATTAAATGAAACAATCCCAACAAATGCATGTCCAGTGAAACAATATCGCCCACATTATTGTACGCATGTGATGCACGTCCATCTCTTCCATGGTCGTGCCTCAACCCACTTATCCTTGCCCGTTGCGTCTTGTGCTGAAAGCTCTGCTTTCGTGCCACTAGGCTACGTTCAGTCATAGAAAATGAACAATTGCTCGTTCAAGTAGGATATTTAACGTGGCCTTCACTAGAGATCTTCGAATCAGAACAAAGTACACCCTTTCTCAGCATCAAATAATTTTGAAAGCCTTTTCAATTCTCCCGAGTGTCGCGGATGCGACGGTGGCCCGTGGGCGCACCGCGCGCCCCGGCCCATTCATGCTCGGATGCCAATGCGCAATGCGCCGCGCAATGCGCCCATTGCGTCATTGGCTCCGCCCTCTACGGTCAGTGCCAGCGGGCAGTCGTCGTCTGTGCCTTACGGCGAGCGGTGACCTGCCTTGCCTCGGACGTCCCCTATGTCTACCTAGCTGTCAGGTGAGTGTATTGAATGGCGTTGAGCCCCCTAGCAGTTGAGGTGCTAATGATGAAATGTCTAATACGTGTCCCAGTGCTGGCATCCAGGGGTTGGTCGGTGTTCACCGGGCAACGCGGAGGCCCCGGAAGGCGAGGAGGGATGTCCCCTCCGAGCTGGAAGGTTGCGGAGCGCCACCCGTTAACTGGTCGTGGTCCCTCCCCTGCTCCCCGTCTGGGAGCAGCCTGGTATCGCGCCCCGTCTCGGACCCGCTGACCGTGCGGGCCCCCTAGAAGTGTAACATCCGAGCGGGATGGGGGTCTACTACGTATAGCCAGCTGCCTGGTCTGCCCTTGAGCGAGGTGGCCGAGGGAGATCAGAGGTGATGGTGAGTTACTGCGTATAATAAATATGTATTTCACATGTTGTATTTATGCCCATGTGGGTTTTGCCCTAATTCCTATGTGTTCATTGTATATGTTGTTTGCGCCATGGTTGTTAAAGGGTTTGGCGCGCTTGGTTCTGATCCGGGAGCTGCGGGAGGCAGTAGGGACCCGTTAGGAACCCCATGGTCCCCGAGGGGTTGGTCCGCTTCTCCTGCGGGGTGCGCAGGAGAGGTGTTGTGGACCCGATGGAAAGTCCTTGGACCGAAAGGTTCAGGCGTCAGGAGTTGCTAGGCAGAGCCCACCGATGCGGATCGCAACAGGCTCAAGCCCCGTTTGCGACATCGACCTTCGAAATGGTTAGCGTGAATTGGACGAAGTAACGTTTGTGCAACACTGAGATGCAGCTACGACTTTCCCATTCTCAAAACTTCTTTTCGATATCCTTGATTGTGTTGGGCATCGCACTGCCTTTGAACAT